ACGGGTGGAGTATGCCGAGAGGGCGGCCAAGCCCCCTGTGGGAGCTGCCTCTCCCCACCCGCGGCCTGAGGCACCCTCACCTCCTCCCATGTGCCCGGGGTTCCTCCGGCAAAGGCTCTTTCAGGTCTTTGGATAGTGGATAGACACATGGGAAGTGTTGCTGTTATTATTTATAGCACCGTCTCTCTGCTCCGATTAAGCGCCGTCTAAATATGAATTCACGGTATAGACAGCTAGTCTATAATTTGAATTAAAATCCCCACAACGAGCCGGTCGCTGGAGAATTCTGAAATCACAAGCCTAAGTTGACACAATGAGCCCATGGTGTCAATAAACCATGGGCGAGATGGAGAGATTGTCACTCCAGACCATAACAGTTCTGAAAGTGTCATTACCGTCTGTCCTGTCAATGAGCTCCAAATTAAGGACTATGAGGAACAGTGAGATAAAAGTCACCGTCTTGGCTCCATTATGGGCGATCATGTCAGTGATCTGAGAATCACTGGAAAGGGCGTACTTTTTTTCCCTTTTTTTTTTTTTTTTTTTTTTTAATGTACTTTTCAAACCCTGCCTTGGGATGCCAGGGTTTGAGGTGCACTGAGGAGAGAAGCAACCTTGAAGCACCCCGGGCTGTTCCTCGAGCGTTCCCATTGAAACTGCCAGATCTGCTTCGGAAACGGTGTGAATTCAATGGAGGAGCCGGAATAATTCCATCAAAACTGCACTGGGGCCAAAGAGGACTTCATTTGATTTGGGTGACACGTGTGATCCCATGAACAGACACCTTTTTACACCATTATTTTCTTGAGTCAACACAAAGATGGTGAAGGGAAAAGAGGGAAATAAAATAGAAGCCTCAACTTTAGCAAAAGACAATACATCTCTATTTGAGATAGCCCCTTCCAGGCATTAAGACTTTCAGAAAATGTCCCCAATCTCTCTCTCCTGCGAGCCTGAGAGAGTTAAGGGGACTTATTCAGGAATTGGAAACCTTCAATTCTGGATTTTTGTGCCTTTGTGGGTTTAAGCAAAGCAGTTAGCGTTCTTCAGGAAGGGTTTTGTGTTTAATATACATGAGTTCATTCAACTACAATGGGAAAAGAAAACTCATTTGTTCTTATAAAACTAGGAAGGAAAGATAACTTCAAATAGACTGCCAAAAAGGATCCTGCTCGAGGGGGTTGCCTTCCTGCTAAAGGGCCTACATTCAACTGTAATTTTACCCCGTTATGCTGTACAGTAATTCCCGAGTTTATCCTCACCACTGGTGCTTGATTTTCTGATTTATTTTTAAGGTCATGTAAGAAAAAGTACGGGCTTCAATTATGATCTCCTCTGGGAAGGAGGTCCAGGGAGTGTTATTTTAGATGCAGGGAAAAAATCGTGGAGAGTTTGAGGAGGCTGTTGGCTATTTATGAAGAGTCCTGGAAGCGTGTTTGGACAATCGGCTACTCCATTTATTGAGCAGCCTTTTGAAAGAGACTTTGAGAGGTGGTGTGTGCAAGTCGGCTTTTCTGCTGTTTATTGTGTACGTTAGACTCGTCTCAGGATCTGAGCTTTATTTATTTTTTAAATTTCGCTTCTCGTAGTCCTGGAGAAAGGTGGAGCCGGTTCTTTTTCTTTTTTTCTTTCTTTCTCCCCCTTGTCTTTTTATTTTTTTTTTTTTTTTTTTTTTTTTAACCTCCCCGCGTTTTGTTTTTTCACGACCTGGCCCCGCAGCAGCAGCGCGCCCACGCGTGCGGCGCTCCCCGGGAGGGGCGGTGGCAGCGGGGCCGCTCGGAGGGCCCGGCGGTACCCGCCGCCGCGGTCGGGCTACGGGAGAGACCGGCGGCGCGGGGGACCCGCGTCCCCCGGTGTCCCCCGGCGTCCCCGAGCCCCACGGCTCGGTTGGGCTCGGGCCGTGGGCTGGCCGCACGTGGGCTCGCCCTGCGGTTTCATTAGGGAGAAAGAGGATGAAAGGGGAGGCCGGGAGGACCCGCGGAGCTCCCTCTGCATTCCCCGGCTTTCAAGGGTCCTTAGAGCCCTTGAATGAAATTATTGGGCGAAATGGGGTCTGGCGGGAGCGGTCGTGACTCGCCCCCCTCGTTGGTTTGTACGTGTAATGCCACTTCTGAGAGCGACAATCGGGCGACTTGCTGGACAGGCAGGGACAAAAAGGGGATTAAACCGTTTTAAATAATAATAAAAAAATATCCAAAACGTAAGCAGAGTGGATTACACTTGCACCAGCGCCTCGGTTCCCCACAGACGCCCCTAACAGCCGCCCTCGGGCCTCGCAGAGAGCGGGCCGGGCCGGGGCCGGGCGGCGGGAACCCCGGGAGCCGCCGCCCTCACCCGCGCCCGGCCCCGCCAAACTTCGCAAGTTTATCTGAGCTCTTTCTTTGAGTGCCCGGCGGTTGTCGCTGGGTCTCCATCCACCGCCGTGTGAGATATTTGTTTGGCTGAGGAAACCTCGCAGTCTCCCCACCTCGGGAGCGGGCAGGAGGTTGGGGGGAGGCGGCGCGGGCAGCGGGACCCCCCTGCCCCTGCCCCGGCCGTGGCCCCTGCCCCTCCGCCGCGGCCGTACCCACTCCCAATGCGGGGTTTATTCTAGGGTATTCCAGGGTATATCTCTGCAACGTTTCCTCGGCACGCTACCGCAAACTCAACATGTGCTATTTTAAATTCCCCAGAGATTGGGGTAGAGGTAGAATGTTAAAACTTCCCTGGCTAACTTTGGCTCCTGAGCGCTGGGCTGTTTCAGCATTAGAGGGGGAAAAGGAAATCTCTCTGTACATTTTCGTCTTCGCATCTTTTTTTTTTTTTTTTTTTTTTTTTTTTTTAACGTAATGAAATTAAAACTTTTGGAGCTCACAGTTGACATTTTGCAGAAAATTGAGTTATCAAGGCAGTAATTATTTCACAGGGAGATAAAACTCTCATAGCCCTAACTGTCAAATAGGGCCCTTTTCAGATTTTAATTACAAAATAAAATTAGTCTGCTCTTCCTCGGAAGGGTTTGTGAGTGGCTAAACAGAGCTTTCCCCAATACTGGTGGTCGTCAAACTCTGCTAATTAGCAATGCTGAGAAATTCCAGTTAACAAGGACATTCTCTAAGTCTCTGCAGGTTCCCTGCCGTTCGCCTTCATTTCCATAAGAAGATTAAGAGTGGAGGGGAACACACTCAAATGCAGATGCAGAAAAGAAGCGTTTTTAACAAGCATCATAATAGTAAGATGCTTGGCTAGTTCTCACCTAATTACTGCAAGTTAAACCTCTATTTGCAGCTAAGGACAAAAAATGGAGCTGCAATCTCCCATCTCCACAAGACCGCTTAATAGTTTGCTTTAGATTGGTTACTAGTATGGTCATGAAAAAAATAATATGAAAATGTGTATATTCTTTCCGATACAGTTAACACGATAGGTCGCATCCTTAGGGCTTTTAGACAAATCGGCGAGTATTAGAACAATAAATACATGAAATCCAAGTAGTTAACGTTAATTTTATTTTTAAGACACCCATAACCTCGAAATAAGAGTGCGTGTGCCGCAGAGACCATCACTGAGAACATTTGCAGACTATTTGTTTAATGTAAGCACTTTTCATTTCCATAAATTATACCAAAGGCAACGATTTTTTAAATCCACTCAGATTAAAACATCCCTCCACAGGCCTCCCTTCCCAACGTGGCTATATTATTCCAGAGAGTGGTGTTGTTACTGTCATTAATACAGAAAATCAGAGGCCATTTAATCTTTTTTTTATTATTTTATTTTTTATTTTATAGCCAGAATTCTGGTCTGCCTCTGCTTCCACCCGTGTGTATGTGTGTCCATATTCCCAACCAAGAACAGCTCCACACCCAGAGGAAAGGCAGAAAATGCCCCAAAAGAGCCATTGCCCTCACTTTATTTTCTGTAGTGCGTTACGTATATATGCCAGATAGTTTATTGCATCGACAATTAAAACTGTTAATTAAAAACAGAGCTGTGATAACACAATCGCAAGACCTTTCCCATCCTTTATTCCGACCATGAATGCAGTCAGGAAAGGGCCAGGCCCCGAAAGGCCCCCAGCGTGCATGGGGCAGCCCCCACCACCCCGGTCCTGCGTGGAGCCCCGGGCCGTGCACCCCACGCACCTCCTGCAGCTACAGCCAGCGCAAAAATCACACTTTGCCTGTGCACCACCAGCCCTCAGTTATCAGTTTATTCCGATGAACAAACACCACTGCCACCCACCCAGCCCCATTTTCTTTTTTCAAACTTAATTATCCCTAAGATTTTTTTTTTTTTTTTTGGGGGGGGGGGGTGGAATAACGTTATCAGCTGCAGACCGAAGGGAGAACAATAAGAAAGTAAACAGCCGCCCTGCCCTCAGGAGTGTCTGGACAATCAGAGTCTGTTTCTATCCCACATCTTGTAATTTGCACCTATTTTTCGACGGTTTAACCTATCACTTATCTCCGGGTTATATATACATTTTCGAATTAAACACATTAAACCCGATAGGATTTATTTGCATAATCCACACACGGGGGAAAAAAAAAAAAAAAAAAAAAAAAAAAAAAAAAAAAAGATGCGTCCTTGTTCGCGGGCGGTTTTTTATTGTTATTATTTCGGTTGGGTGTAATTGCCCGGTCCCTTCCCCCCTCCCCGGCTCCCCCGTCCCTCTCCCGGCGGCGCCTCCCCGCCCGGGGCGCGGCCGGGCCGGCAGGGGGCGCCGCAGCGCCGCGGCTGAGCCCTCGCGGGGCGCCCGGGCGCTGCCCTCGGCCCCTCCCGCCCCGCGCCCCGGGCGCTGCTCGGGGCTCCCCCAGCGCCCCTCACCCGCTCCGGATTAATGCTGTGAGGGCGGGGGGGGGGGGGGGATCGGACCGAAAGGCGGAGCGGCCCCTCACCCCCCCACCTCGGGGCGGGGGAGGCGCGGAGCGGCGCGGAGCACCGCGGATGGGGCGGCGCGCGTTGGTGCGGGGTCTGGCGAGCGGCTCCCCCCCCCCCTCCCCGCTCCCGCTCCGCGTCCTCTCTCCCCTCCTTCCTTTGTCGTCAAGTGCGTTTTAGCAACAAAGATCCCAACAAGAGAGTGGAAGTAAACTTAGCCGGGGCTTTGTGCGGCCCCGTGTAGCGACAACAAGAGAAACAAAACTACCTATTGGTAGCGCCCGGCCGCGCTCCCCCCGCGCTGCGCGCCCACCCAGCGCCGCCCGCGCCCGCACAATGGCCGCGGGGTAACGTTACGCCGCCCGACCCGGTCGCGCCCGCGGGACGGAGCGCTCCCCGGCCCCCTCCCCAGCCCCTGCGGAGGGGGTCCCTACCCCTCTTTGTGTTCTGCAGGGACGGCGTTTGGGAGACCCGTGTTTGCACTGGACAACACACCCCCCCCACACCCCCCATCCTCCGAGGCCGGGGGCTGGAGGGGGAGGGCTTGGCGGTGTGTGCAACGGCTGGAACGGGACAGGGCCCGGAGGAAGGCCGGGAGAAGGGCACAGCCTCTCCCCGGGCTGCGCGGCGCGACCTCGGCTCCCCGGCGGCGACCGGTTGCGGGGCGGCGCGGCTCCGCTTTCAACCGGGACCCCACGGCCGCGGCGGCCGGGGCTCGGCGCGCTGGGCCGACCTGGATGGGGCGAGCGCTGCACACGCGGGGCCCCACGCAGCCGGGCTGCCCCTCCGTCCCACGGGGCGCTGGCGAACGGAGGGGTGGGGGCCGGGGGGAAGCCGTTCCCGCTCCGTTCCCCCCATGGCTTCTCCCAGCCCTAAGCCAACACCAACTTAAAAAAAAAAAAAAAGGAAAAAGAAAAAAAAAAAAAAAAAAAAACACGTAGCAACAATGCTGTTTACCCACTTCCTCCAAAAGGCGTGTGTGACCTGTTGCTGGAAGGGGGATACAAAGGCTTCCCAGTGGCTGCCTGGGCCGCCTCCGGGCCCGCCTCCCCCGCCGAGCCGTCCCGGCGGCTCCGAGCCCCCGCCCCGTTTCATGCAAAACCAGGGGTAGAGACTTGTCCTCAGTGGCGGAGCCGCCGCGCGCTGATTGGCCGGGGCGAACACATTTATTCCCTGACAAGCCCCCATCACATGGATGGTTGTCTATTAACTTGTTCAAAAAAGTATCAGGAGTTGTCAAGGCAGAGAGAGAGAGTGTGTGTGTTTGCAAAAGGGGGTAAAGTAGTTTGCTGGCTCTTTAAGACTGAGGTGGAGAGAGAGAGAGAGAGAGAGAGAGCGGCAGGCAGAGAAAAGGGAAAAAGGAAGAAGAAGAAGTTTTTTAAAATCAAGGCTCCGGCGGTAATAATAGCAGTTATTAGCATTATTAATCCATCAACGAAGAGGAAGATCCTGATCTTGATCCAAGTGTGGTTTTGGGGAGTCCCCCTCCCCCCTTTCCTACCCCTCCCTAGGAAAAAAAAAAAAAAAAAAAAGTCCGGCTTGGGACTTCGCTGCGGCTGCTCCTCGCTTCTCTGCTCAAGGCTGGTTCCAGGCAAAAGTAGTTTGAATGTACAACATGATGGAAACCGAGCTGAAACCTCCCGCCCCCCAGCAAACTTCGGGGGGAGGCACGGGCAACTCGAACTCAGCCGCCAACAACCAGAAGAACAGCCCGGACCGGGTCAAGCGCCCCATGAACGCCTTCATGGTGTGGTCCCGCGGGCAGCGGCGGAAAATGGCCCAGGAGAACCCGAAGATGCACAACTCCGAGATCAGCAAGCGGCTCGGGGCGGAGTGGAAACTTTTATCCGAGGCGGAAAAGAGACCCTTCATTGACGAAGCCAAGCGGCTCAGAGCTCTGCACATGAAGGAGCACCCGGATTATAAATACCGACCCCGGAGGAAAACCAAGACCCTCATGAAGAAGGATAAGTACACGTTGCCAGGGGGCTTACTGGCGCCGGGCACCAATACCATGACGACTGGGGTAGGGGTTGGGGCCACCTTGGGAGCTGGGGTGAACCAGAGGATGGACAGTTACGCGCACATGAACGGCTGGACCAACGGAGGCTATGGGATGATGCAAGAGCAGCTCGGCTACCCGCAGCACCCGGGCTTGAACGCGCACAACGCGGCGCAGATGCAGCCCATGCACCGCTACGACGTGAGCGCCCTGCAGTACAACTCCATGACCAGCTCGCAGACTTACATGAACGGATCGCCTACCTACAGCATGTCTTACTCCCAGCAAGGGACCCCGGGCATGGCCCTGGGCTCCATGGGCTCGGTGGTCAAGACGGAATCCAGCTCCAGTCCCCCCGTAGTCACTTCCTCGTCTCATTCGAGGGCTCCTTGCCAAGCTGGGGACCTTCGGGACATGATCAGCATGTATCTACCAGGTGCTGAAGTACCAGAACCAGCTGCCCCAAGCAGACTTCATATGTCCCAACACTACCAGAGTGCACCTGTTCCTGGCACAGCCATTAATGGCACACTCCCTCTATCACATATGTAAGACAAAGGGGCCGGGGAGTGGGGGGGGAGGGTGGGAGGGGAGGAGAACTAAACAAAACAAACAAACGACAAAAAAACTTTTATTAGAAATTCTGGACTTTTTTTTTTTTTTTTGGACTATTTTTGTACAGAGAAAACTCGGGGCGGGGGGGGTGTGGGGTGGTGGGGTGGGGGCAGAAATTAAACCGACAAGGAACTTGTATAGATCTCGGAGGGGAAGCAACTACACAAAACTTTTAAAAAGTTCTAGTGAAAACGGTAGGAACTTTGCAGAAAGTTTGCAAAAGTCTTTACCAATAATATTTAGAGCTAGACTCAAAGAGCGAAGAGGAAAATGTTTTAATATTTGCAGGCAACTTTTGTACAGTATTTATCAAAAGAAACATGGCAATCAGAATGTCCATTGGTAATATAGAGAGAAGAAAAAAAAAAAGAAAAACAAACTCGCAAATTTGCCAATTATTTTTTAAAAATAGAGTCTACTTCGAGCATTGTGGCTTTGGCAGCTGAATTTATAGCAGCTGCGAGAGGAAAGGAAATTATTTTACAGCATTTGGACATTTAAATTGTTTTCGAAATTGTACAAAAGACAAAAAAGGTAGGATGAGTACTTGCGAACCATGGGCTTGGTTTGCTGTAAAAGGGCAAACGTTTAGATTGTACTAAATTTTTTTTTTTTTTTTTTTACTTCTTGTTAAAAAGCAAAAATTGCCATGCAGGTTCACACACCGTTTGTTAATTTATAACTTTTTGTTTCCAGACTTCATCCTGTTCAAAGAAAAGAAAAGAAAAAAAAAAAAAAACAAAAACAAAAAAAACAACCTGAAATTACTGTGTTTGAAATATTTTCTTATGGTTTGTAATATTTCTGTAAATTTATTGTGATGATATTTTAAGTTCTTTTTTTTTTTTTTTCCTCATTTTCCGTAGTTGTATTTTAAAGATTCGGCTCTGTATTATTTGAAATCAGTCTGCCGACAGTCCATGTATATATTTGAACTAATACCATCCTTATAACAGGTACATATTCAAGTTAAGTTTTTACTCCATTATGCACAGTTTGAGATAAATAAATTTTTGACATATGGACACTGAAGTTCCGCTTGAGTCTTGGATTTATTTTTGTAACGCAAGCTGTTTTTTAAATAATTCATGCAGTAGAAAGTATCATCGTAGCCAACCGAGTACGATAAATAATGCAGCAATATATGTATATAACGCATGAATATTTTTATACGTATGTATAGAGAGAGAGAGAGAGAGAAAGCACGCTAGCTTCAATGGAATAACTGCCTGTGCCTCCTTCGGGGGGACGGGACTGCGGAGCCAGACGCTCCTTTCCCAATTCCTTTCCCTTCCGAGGACGCGGGGTGCGGTGGGGTAAGGGGGGGGTGGGACGTGGCTGCTTTTGCCCACTTGTTGCGGCCGGCGGGGCGCGGAGCGGGGCGCGGGGCGCGGGGCGCGGAGCGGAGCCGGCGGCAGCGCAGCCCGGCCGGGGCACCACGAGCGGGCGCCGCCTTTGCATGTGCAGATAATTTCGGTCTCTCTTTTCCCGACGGTGCCGTCTGCCTCTGGGGCACGCAGGAGCGCAGCCGGCCTTCCGTGGCTGGAAGCGTGGCGCGGCCGGCCCGGGGCGGCTGAGCCCTCCCTGCTCCCTTTGTTCGGGACTTGCCAAACTTTCCTCCCCTGGCTCCTGGGCAGCGCGGGAGGGGTGAGATCTGGGGGTGGGGGGAAGAATTGGGCGGTGGGGGGGGGGGGGGGGGCTCGGCCGGGCGAAGGTAAGAAACAACAAAAAGCCAACAAACAAACAAAAACGGTCGAATGCCAGAGACTTTCACGCTTTATCACAGCTCTTTCTTGAATCCTATTTCTTAAATTGCCAGCGCGGTGTAGCCCCGTTTCGGACACTCTCCGCAGCCGGTCACAAGCCCCAAAGAGAAGCGGTAGCGCCCGCCAAATAGGAGGAGAGATCCGCCATCCGTGCCAGGTAGAGTTTTACTTTGTACAGTTGTAACCGCAATTCCCGAGGAGAAGGGTCCGCGCTGCTGCGCGCTGGCGGCCGCGGCCGCGCTCCGGCCGCCAACAGGGCCCGTTCGCCCCGGGCAGCGCCGGGGCCGCGGGGCGACAGAACCGAGCAACTGCCGCGGCAGCCCGTGTCCCCCCCACAGAAGCCCAGCGTTTATTCGGTGCTGCTAATGTGGCTGCGGTTTCCCTTGGGAGACGCGTGAGAGATATATAATAATAATAATAATAATAATAATAATAATAATAATAATAATAATAATAATAATAATAATAATAATAATAATAATAATTTTGAAAATCAGGGGGGGACTCAATTGGGGGCACTGTGATTGCAAACTGGTGGTATCTTCTGCTAATGGTGTGTTGTGCATGGCAAGGAAAGGATGTGATGGTTGATTTAGGCAAGGCACAAAGTGGGCACTCCGGAATGGGAGTAAGTGTTGCTCAGCTTTTCTCTCTCCTGTTTCTTGTTGGTCACTGGATTTCACTTTATCTCGGAGAGGTGGAAGGCAGGGATAAAAAAGAAAAAGAAAAGAACAACAACAACAAAAAAAAAACCACCACCAAAACCAAAACAACAAACCACAAAAAAAAGTTACCTGTCTGGTCGTGGCTTTTAGTTGGTAGTGCTTTTTCCTAGGCTCAGTCCTGGCCTCCATCCTTGAAGCCTGGTGTCCGGATGAAAACTAGCATTGCCAGACTAAGAGATGTGGAGTTTTGCTCACTGCCTGGTTTTGTAGTTTAGCTCCCTGTGTCCTTTTTATTTCTGCACCGTCGCAGTATTTGGGCAGCACAGCAATTCCTGAAGATTCTCAACCTTTTCTATTTCTTTTACGTTAATGCAAGGAGTAAAATATTCTTTTTCAGAGCTGTGAGCATTTGCAATGCGTCTGGGGATTATTCACGTGGTAACGAGCCCACATCCCTGCTCCTGCTCTCCTGGCTGGGAAAAGAGAACCAGGAATAAAAGCCCAATCGATATAGCGATTCCATTTTTTAAAAGCAAATCTTAGCCAATTAACAGCAATAAAAACTGGCCCCTTTTTGAAGTGCTAACTAAAATATTCGAGGGGGGTAGTTGGAAATGTTGTTCCTTTTACAATTCGCATAGAGAAGGCGAGCTAATACCATTAAACAAAAGGCACTAAGCCACATATTCAGGCTTAGTGAATTCAGCAACTTTTTTTTTTATGGGCAATTTATTTAAGCTTAGATTTCGGAGTACGATGTGGAATATATGTGGTTGAAACCTGATCTCCCTTGGACAGATTCCTTACATCCATCCATCCATCCATCCATCCATCCATCCATCCATCCATCCATCCATCCATCCATCCATCCATCCATCCATCCATTTATCCGTTTAGAGAGGATAACCCACAGCATTTTACACATACAGCTGAACGATTTTATTTTTAAAGTGTTACTTGGAGGAACGCTATTGTCCACTGCTAATTTTAAATTCAGCACATGCAATAACCCCCCTTATGCATAAGCCATTACCCTGGGCTTTCATCTGTGGCAGCTGAAATGTGTAGCAGAGCTCGTGGATATGTTTTAATTTTGGTTATTGAAGACCTTTTGGGTTCTCTGTGTTTTTCCTCTGGTGAATTGTTGTGTGCTTTATAGCCAGGGTGATGCTCAGTCCAGGAGCGCCAGTGTAATGTTTCACTAACCTTCCAAGAGTCGAAATGAACCCAAGGATAAGATTATAGTTTCCCCTGTGATTTTTTTACGGCTTTTTGAGGACAGGGGTGTTAAAATATTTTGCGGAACTGGAGAGGTAGATTAGCAGGGTTTCTTGCCAAAGCTGGGAAGCTGGTATTACAGACTGTCCCAGGGGGAAATCGCTCACATTAACCACTAAATGAATATTTGACAAGGGCTCATTCGGGGGTATTATTACTACAAACGGGTCCCTACTGGACTTTCCAAGGGTCAAAGAGCAATGGTTCAATTAATTATTTAGACTGTTAGTAGATTTGGTTGTAATAGCTGTACTTATTTCTGCAACCGACAGCTTCTTGCGGTGGGGGACCTGGGGAGAGGCTCTCTGCCTCGCAGCCCCTGCTCCAGCCCGCGGGGCCAGCGGCTGCTGGCTGCCATCAGACATTTCTTGGCTGAAAACATATTTTTATACCTTGAGATGCCCACTGGTGCCGTGTGGGACCTCGGGGGGTGGCGGTGATCCCCGCAGCAGCGTGTTCTCTCTCAAGATTAATTCCTTCTCGTCCCCAACGGGCTGCAGACCTGGATATCTGCCTCCGAACGGGAGGTAGATAGCTCAGCAATTTAAGTAGTATATAATATAGGTCCCACTGAAAGAAAGAGGCCCATTACTGATACGTGTGATTAGATACACTTCAGTTATTTAAATCCTGATCTAACTCAAATATTAAAATCTAAAGCCTGCTTCGGTGCGTACGAGATTTCTGAGGATATATGCAAAATGCTGACATTCAGATGGCAGGAGAGTTTCGTCTTTGCTTTTTTAACGCCAGCCAGCCTCGCCTGACACTGTCGTTTCAACATTTTTGTTGGGGGGGTGGAGGGGAGCGAGAGAAGGGAGGATTATTTTGTTTAATTTCTACAACAAACATGTCCGCAGTAGTAGATACTAAAAAAAAAAATGTTGGGAGTGCGCGATTAGGTGACAATAATATATGTTGAATGAATAAGAGATAAGCTGCAAGGGGGGAGAGGGAAGCAGTAATTACAAACCCAATTCATTCAGCTTTTCAGGACTTTTGTTGTGGGAGCTCCATTGACGGGCTTCGAGCTGCCAGTTTTCTCACATTAAAAAGAACTGATCAGCGCCTCAGGGGGACAAGCAACACCGCTTAACTGCATAGTGATGGGGTCCTCATTTAGAGCCATTACAACAAGAAAATTAAACAGAGCCTTTGTGTGCACCAGGTTTACTTTTCAATTGCTGACAGTTTATAGCTAACTGCTCAGAGATTGAAGTTTGATTGCGGTTTGATCGCCTGCTAGTTAGCACCACCGCTATTTTAGTTCTGGTAATTAAAACCAGTTTTTCTGACGATGGCACGGGGAATTGCAAGAAGTTTGGTACTATTTTGCTTTTGAGGAATCAATTCACTTGGTGAGGACGTACAGCG